GTCTATCTGCTGGCGACAGGCTGTCGCCAGCCCTCCAAACTCGTTCGCCTATTTAAACCCCATCGCCTAGGGTTTTTTTGTAGCAGAGCTCCTTCCCCCCGATTTCTTTCTGGCGGCGGAAGAAATTAACGCAGAAGCGTTCATCACCTTCGACCAAGAAATCGCAGCAGCGATTTGATTTCTCATCTCCAGCACTCAACTGAGTTTTGAGGGGAGATTAAGAAGAGGGTTTAAGGAGAGAGAGAGAGAGGAATTAATTTGGGGCTTTATATAGTGGGTTGTTTATTTATTCTCAAGTGAGAATTGAAAGGGTTTATTCCCTCTGATTATTAACACTGTAGCTACAGTGTTTATCTGAGAGATCTCATATTTGATCTGCTCTTAAATTGTAATTTCTTGTTAGATTAATAAGAAATTATCTGTGTGGCTCTCGAGGACGTAGGCAGTTGCCGAACCTCGTAAATCTTGTGTACTGTTCTCTATTCTGCGTTTCCGTTGCATTAGGGATTTCGGCGTTAAATTCCCAACAACTGGTATCAGAGCGTGAAACGATCTAGAGGAAGTCAGATTCAAGTGGGAGCCATGGCCGCAGATGAAGGGAAAATAAGACTTGAGAAATTTGATGGAACAGATTTCGGATTCTGAAAAATGCAGATAGAGGATTATCTGTATCAGAAAAATCTGTATCAACCACTATCGGGGAAGAAGCCGTATTCCATGAAGGAAGAAGAGTGGAACCTTCTGGATAGATAAGCCCTCGGAGTTATCAGATTGACGTTGACTCGCAATGTTGCGTTCAACATAGCGAAGGAGAATACCACGGCAGGTCTTATGGCAGCACTCTCAAACATGTATGAGAAGCCATCAGCCGCAAACAAAGTTCATTTGATGCGGCGGTTATTCAATCTGAAAATGGCGGAAGGCGCGTCAGTAGCACAACACCTCAATGAACTCAACACGGTCACAACCCAATTAAGTTCAGTTGTTCCCTACCAGAGAGTTGGAACGCTACAGTCACAGCTGTGAGTAGCTCGTCGGGAAAGAAAAAGTTGAAGTTCGGCGACGTTCGTGATTTGGTTCTCAGCGAGGAGATCCGACGGAGAGAGACGGGTGAAGCTATAACCTCTCCAGTATTGCATACAGAGTCAAGAGGTAGAAATTCAACCAGAGGAAACGGACGAGGAAAATCAAACTACAGAGGTAGATCAAAGGACAGGAGGTCCAAATCAAGGAATCCAAGCAACAGCTCGAAGGCTATTGAGTGTTGGAATTGTGGAAAGACCGGGCATTACAAGAATCAGTGCAAGAGTGCACAGAAGGAGAAGGAAGCGAAGGCAGAGGTGAATGTCACTTCCACCTCAGGAGGAGACGACGCATTGATATGCTCTTTGGAGAGCAAGGAGGAATCTTGGGTGTTAGATTCAGGAGCATCGTTTCATGCTACCTCTCAGAGAGAATTCTTCGAGAAGTATACTCCCCGGAAATCTTGGATATGTATATCTTGGTGATGATCAACCATGTGCTATTGTGGGCAAAGACGTGGTGAAAATTAAGTTGAACGGGTCAGTATGGGAGCTGAAGGATGTCAGGCATATTCCCGACCTGAGAAAAAATTTAATATCCGTAGGCCAGCTGGCTGGCGAAGGATACACTGATTGGAAGATCTCAAAGGGCGCAATGACAATTGCCCGAGGCAGGAAGACAGGTACCCTGTATATGACAGCAGGTGCACGTTGTTTGATCTCAGTTGTAGCAGACAATGAGACTTCAAAGCTGTGGCACCAGAGACTCGGTCATATGAGTGAGAAGGGATGAAAATCATGCACACAAAGGAAAAACTCCCAGGACTGCAGTCAGTGGAGATGGATATGTGTGAAGAATGCATACTTGGAAAGCAGAAGAGAGTCAGCTTTCAGACAAGTGGCAGAACCCCCAGGAAAGAGAAGCTAGAGCTCGTTCACTCAGATGTGTGGGGACCAACAACCACCGCGTCCATTGGTGGAAAACACTACTTCGTGACTTTCATCGATGATCACTCTCGGAAAGTGTGGGTCTACTTTCTGAAGCATAAGTCAGAAGTATTTGAGGCTTTCAGGAGATGGAAAGCTATGGTCGAGAATGAGACCGGTCTGAGAATAAAGAAGCTCAGGACCGACAATGGCTTTGAGTATGAAGACACCGGATTCAAGAAGTTCTGCTATGAGCACGGGATCAGAATGGAGAGAACCGTGCCCGGCACGCCTCAGCAAAATGGTGTAGCTGAGCGGATGAACCGAACGTTGACAGAGAGAGCCAGAAGCATTCGAGTACAATCAGGCCTACCGAAGAAGTTCTGGGCAGAAGCGGTCAACACAGCAGCTTACTTGATCAACCGAGGTCCATCGGTTCTATTGGAGCACAGAATACCAGAGGAGGTATGGTGCGGAAAGGAGGTAAAACTCTCACATCTCAAAGTTTTGGGTTGTGTAGCTTACGTGCATATTAGTGATCAAAGCAGGAATAAGCTTGATCCCATGTCAAAGAAATGCACTTTCATCGGCTATGGTGAAGATGAGTTTGGCTACCGCATTTGGGACAACGAAAACAAGAAGGTGATCAGGAGCAGAGATGTGATATTTAACGAGAAGGTGATGTATAAGGACATGCACAAGACTGACGACTCAGAGAGCGAGTCCACATTTATAGATGCAGATGATGTCCCGAGTAACTTCTCGGAAGATCCCAATGCAGAAGATCCTCAGCCAGAAGAGCCTGTTGGACAAGATGGTGCGCAGGAGCCCGACGCACCAGCTCCGATATTAAAAAGATCTTCTCGTCCTCCTGTACCCAACAGGAGATACATGAACTATCTGTTGTTGACAGATGGTGGGGAGCCTGAAAGCTTTGATGAAGTTTGTCAGTGTGGAGATGCGAGCAAGTGGGAGCTTGCAATAAAAGATGAGATGAAGTCTCTTATATCAAACCAGACGTGGGAACTAGCTGAGTTGCCCACGGGTAAGAAGGCACTCCGCAACAAATGGGTGTACCGGGTGAAAGAGGAGCAGGATGGTTCCAGGAGATATAAAGCCCGATTGGTTGTCAAAGGTTTTCAGCAGAAGAAAGGAATTGACTACACCGATATTTTTGCTCCCGTGGTAAAGCTAAATACTATCAGGACCGTGATGAGTATTGTAGCAATTGAAGATCTTCATCTCGAGCAGTTAGACGTGAAGACGGCGTTTCTTCACGGTGATCTAGAAGAGGAGATATACATGCACCAGCCAGAAGGTTTCTCAGAAGAAAAGAAGAAGAACCTGGTGTGCAGACTCAAGAAGAGCTTGTATGGCCTGAAACAAGCCCCAAGACAGTGGTACAAGAAGTTTGACGGCTTCATGCACAAGGAAGGTTTCCAGAAGTGCAACGCCGACCACTGTTGCTACTTCAAAAGATATCAGTCCAGCTATATCATCCTACTGCTGTATGTTGATGATATGTTGGTTGCAGGAGCAGATATGGAGGATATCAAGAGTTTGAAGCAGCAGCTGTCAAAGGAGTTTGACATGAAGGACTTGGGTCCAGCGAAGAAGATCCTTGGAATGCAAATCACGAGAGATAAGAAGAGAGGTCTCTTGCAGTTATCTCAGACGGAGTACATCAACCGTGTTTTGCAGAGATTTAACATGGGCAACGCCAAGCCTGTGAGCACACCCTTGGCCAGTCATTTTCGACGTAGATGCAGACTTCGGCGGTGAAGTTGATCATCGAAGAAGCACCACCGGCTATGTATTCACCGTTGGAACTACAGTTGTTAGTTGGATGTCACAGGTACAGAAGATCGTTACCCTATCCACTACAGAAGCTGAGTATGTTGCAGTGACTGAAGCTAGTAAAGAGATGATATGGTTTCAGGGTTTGTTGATAGAGCTGGGATTCAAACAGGAGAAGAATGTTTTGCACAGTGATAGCCAGAGTGTGATACACTTGGCGAAGAATTCAGCATTTCATTCTAGAACGAAGCATATTGCGCTTCGGTACCACTTCATCAGATCCCTGTTGGAAGATGACGTGTTGAAACTGGAAAAGATTCCAGGTAGTAAGAACCCAGCTGACATGTTAACAAAGACGGTGACTGTTCAGAAACTGGAGTTGTGCGCAACTTCAGTTGGCCTTTATGCATAGATGATGAGGGCGGAGCCACACAGGAGAGGAGCTTGATGGTATAGCCTGTTGACGTCGGTTTGGTCTTCAAGTGGAAGATTGTTAGAATTGGGGGTGGAAACCAACCTCCGCTGGCGACGAGGAGCTCCGACGAGCTCGGAGATGACGCTGGCGAAGTCGACGGCGAACCCCCCAGGCGAGCTCGAGCCCCGCAGTCGAAGACGCGACCCTCGAGCGAGACGCGACCCTCGAACGCGCACCTGACCCTCGCGTTTCAGCAGCTCGACGACCCGCGTTTGGCATCGAACCCCGCGTTTGGCCTTCGACCCTCGCGTCCAGACGATGCCGACCATTGCGTTCTTCGGGCAACCGACCTCAGCT